TATGTTCCCTGTGCAGAAAATCCAGTCTAAGCGTATTTCCAGACACAGTCAAAGAATGATGATTATAGTTCATGTTACTTTTTGTTTCTATCTCGTTCTCTACTTTTGATTGTTGTGGTACACTGCTGCCATCTATTGAATCTGCTGTTGTCTACATCCACTATTGAAACCTTTTAGTGTTTGTAACCAAAGAATCTTGCAGTGCATTTGTTTTAAATATACAGATGGTGCTTTTATCATATGGCTGATGTTTGTGTGTTTATTTATATATGCTTCATATATTGCTGTCTTTTTCAGTGAAATGTTTAAATTGTTATTCACATTTCAGGCTCTGCCAATAATGAATTAAAAATAAAAAAGCTTTGCAACTTTCCCTGCATTGACTGATTTAATCTTGTAGAGCTGTGGTTGCACAGGGTACTCCTAACCAATAAAATAATTAATAACTTATCTGTCATATGGAAATGATAATTTAAAGTTTTTGATTTGACAACATTTGTGAAAAACACAGAAAAGATAACTAATTATATGATGCTGGAAATGGGCGACATGACACATTTTAATAACAGAGAGAGTTGCTTCTTATAAAAAAGTAACCCAGTGTCATGTACAGTCTCCTTGAGTACAGATACAAAACATCATTGATATTTACATACATTTACATTTACATACACCATTGCAATGGTGTGGCCCAGCTGGATGTTCACTGACAAATGGTCCAATTACACTGTAATCAATTATTGTTATTTAATCTAACAGCAACACCAAATGACCAATGACCAGTTAACTTTAGCTATTGAATACAATTTATTTTAACATAATAATAACACCTGATTGCAATGAAAGGTGATATGTTATAAATTATAATATTGTTCTGCAACATGTTCTGTATTTTAATTTGATATACCAACAGTCACTTTTCTTGTTATGGCTTTTAAATGTTTTATTATTATTATTATTATTATTATTATTATTATTATTATTATAAGTAGTAGTACACTGTATTTGTAGAAACACGTTGTAACATTATTTGTCCAGCAGGTGGCAAACATGGGGCACAAACACAAAGCACGTGCTAAAGACAAAAATGTGAAATAAAATGTAAAATTTAGTAACATTTTTACATCGCACCATCTTGACACGGGTGTTACTGGAATATCTGTTTAATTTAAGCGTGAAGTTAAATAGTTAAATAGTTTTTACCAGCTTTTTGCCACGGAAGTAAGACAGCAGGACTCCAATTCCCAGAAGTCAACGCGATGTGACGGTGGCTATAAGCGCTGCAGCGTCAGGAGTGCACGAGGTATGTAACGTTAACTGAATTTTGTGCTTATAAATTACGCCAAATAAAATGAAAGTAAAATAAAAATTGCGCTTCATTAACGGAAAACCAGCTTGTTGTTGTGTCATCGAGCTTCCGGTTACTCGCTACAGAGTTTATATTATTCTCTTTTGTGCTAGCTAAAGCCACAAGAATGCATTGTTTTTAAACCTAAATACTGCGATACAGCTAAGTTAACTACAACCTCACACCTGTATTTCACTGTGGTTGTCCTGCACAAACAGCACGACCACAGCCAGGTTGAGCACATTAGCAGCGGACTGCAGCAGTCAGTGGAGCCCTGGCATGCTAACACACTGTAATCCAGTGACTGGCTTGTGTAACTTGTTTGCATCGCACCTTTAAAATCTTCACACGTAAGTCTTTCCTCAGGAGCACACTGGGTTTTATATACCTTGTTTACACTTTTATGTCTTTCTTCAGAAAGTACAGTTCCTTGGAAATGTGTGTTCGAGCATGATCCTGAATTGTCTAGCAGATAATCTCACTTGTTTGAGTTGAGAGCTGAAATGGGTGATGTTTTTAAATGTATTTATCTTTATTTTCATTCTCTTCTATGAAGGCATTTTGGGGTTTTAGACCTCTGGACAGGCTGATCACTCTATTTGTGGGAGAGCAGCCAGGATTTATATAGTTGTAACTATTGCATCACTCGCCAACTATTTTGATAATTGATTTGATTCTGATTTTTTAAGAGAAAAGTGACCAAATTGTCTGATTTCAGCTTATCAGATTTGAATATTTTCTGTTTTTTTTTTCTGTGGCAGTAAAATTAATATATTTCGGTTGTTGACAAAACAAGACATTTCCAAGTTCCCTTGGGCCTTGATCGTTTTATGGACCAAACAACAAATCGTTTTATTGAGAAAGTTATTTAAAGATTAACCGATAGTGTATGTTATCGGCAGTTATACAGGCCTAATTTAAGGCCGTGGACATTTTCCACTATTTCTTTTATACTTTAGACATCAAACAATTTGATTAATTAAGAAAATAAGCTGCAGACTTATGAGTAAAGACCATGATTGTTGAGCTAAAGCAGTGTGTTACAGTTTGCTTCCAAAGTATAAAAACACAGTTGTGCTCTAAAGTCTGCTGCACTGGGTCAAAATAGTCAGACTAACTGACGACATTGTTATCTTTGCAGGTTAACAATGACACCAGACTCAGCTGCTGGATAGCTTGCTGTCGGGTAAAATGTCACAGCGTGGAATGGAGCAAAGGTCAACATTTTCTCTTACATGCAAATGGCAGCATGTAGCACTTTAACTACATTTTCATCACCCTGTTAGATGGTTCATACTCACCGTTTCAGTATTCTCTCGAATGGGGAGGCCGACAGGTTGAGAGGATACCACAGTGTGAGTGACGTTTTCAACCCCCGACTGCGCGGTTTGTTTGTTCTGTTTCAAGTAGGAAGTGTGCAGCTTTTCAAGTGGAAACAAATCCTCACATGGTGGTTTGACAGAGCACAAAAGTTACACTCTGCATCAAAGAGTGGTCCACAAACCCAGCTGACACAATGGTAGCGGATGACACAGCTGGAAGTGGGGACAGATCAGACGGGGAGAAAGAAATGGACCCGAAGTTGCCTGCATCTGAAGACGGAGACGTAGACATGGCTGTCTCTGCTTCTGAGGGCCCGTCTCCCTCCGAGGGTCCCCCAGAGGAAGTCAGGGAGCCCAGAAAGTGGAAGTGGGCTGTGATATTCTTGTGTTTCTATGGGTTTATGTCATCGATAAAGCCCGGGGAGCCCTTCATCACGCCATATCTGCTCAGCTCTGAGAAGAACTTCACCAGGGTACAGGTACGTGGCATCCTCAGACTGAAATGTGTTTGATTTTGTGCAGGTACTTTTGTGTTTTGTTGAAGGAAAATAAGAGCGGTATAACCACATTTGAAAAATCGTATTATTAAAATACAATAATGAAAAATGGAAGACTGTCCAGTCATGCAGAGTTGCACTCCAGGCCATTCAGTACAGAATACAAGTTAACCTCTAAGACTCTTTCATAGGTTTTTCTCCATAAAGTCCAGCACTCATTCATTACACAGTAGAAGTAATGAGTGCCACCATGGGGAGTTTGCTGATCCATCTTACTGTGGTCAAAGTTCACATTCCTCCAAAGTGGGTCAGTGTAATAGGCTTGTGGAGGACTGTGATTTGTAGATTTAGATCACTATTTTGTTTGATCTTTCTTTTTTTTCCTTCTCTGAATCGGCCATGACCTCGTACCGAGAGCGGATTAGTTTTAGTATTACAGATTTGTTGTGTTCACCTTAATGTTTGTTAATATCTCAATCAGCGTCACTCCCATTTCCAATAAATTCCAAGACAGATTCCAGGGAATAGGCTGCCCTGGCCTTAAATGATCCCTCATCATCTGTTATCTGTGATTACACATGAAGCCCAACGTTGCCAATGACCTAACGCTGGTCTTGGTGATCTCCAGTTTCTCTTACATGAAATCAAATGTGATAATAGGCCTGTCGCGATATGCGATAAATCAATTAATCGCACGATAAATAAAATGAGCTCGATAATTTTTTCGGCCGCGATAATTTCCATTTACATGCTTGTTTGTTTTCCTCGTCTCTCTCTACCAAAGAGACTGGATGACCACTCCGGTGCATCGGT